TGACAGGTTAAATGTTAGAGAGGGTCCCTTTCATCCATCTACCTGCCCAAACCCCAGTACTTTTATGGAGACATTTTAAGAAGTGCAAAGATCCTATGCAAAAGAGACAAATACGCTTTTCATGCAGGAGTGCCCACCCCTGCCCACACACTAGTTCCAATCACTGTTGTGGATACAAAAGTCTCTTCCTGAACTTGCCTGCTTAGACCTTCTTGGGAAATGCTGATCAAATACCACTGGTGTCTCTTTAGCAGAAGAATGCATCCAGTAACGTTGGTCTGCATTCAGTCTGTGTTGTCTTACAGGCTGCTAGCAGCACCAAGAGTACCTTTCATGAGGGCTTCATATCTATGGGAAAAGATCAGATTCTTGCAGATCAGATTCTTGATTACTTGCTATAGTTGCTAAAAGCAAAAGCAAGGAAACAAACATCTTGGAAATATAACAATTTCTTAGTGACTTAGGCGTTTTATTTTGCAGCACCTGAAATCACAAAAAGCTTGCAGCGTGCAGTCACAGAGCTACTTAAACTGAATGCTTGCTCTTACTTGTTTTGATACCAGAAACTAAAACCCAGAGAAACTTCAACCCTTCAAGATTACCTGAAATAAAAAAAAAATTAAAAGTCCAGCACAGAAACTAAAGGACTATGATGCATTAATCAGTCATGTGTTTGGGTGGCATTTGCACAGAGGATGAATATTTTTCTTCTTTTTGATCACCTGCAGACAGGAATCCTTGCTTTGTGATGTTTTGAGACAGACAACACCTTCTGTGCCAGCAAAGAACACCTTTTACTGGAAGATGATTTTGCTGGTCAGCGTCATCCACTTGCCTCCAGATAACTTTCACATCAGCCTGTGGTCCTTCTTGCAGAACTTGGACCCAGATAAGGACTTTCCTGGCTGGGCCATCTCAGATTTGGCTTCCAAAAAGGGCACAGTGTGGGCAGCTTTTACCTGAAGTGCCCCTCACCAAGCTGAAATGTGAATTCTCCCCAAGGAGGGCTCAGAGGGCCCTGAGATTCTGTCAAAAATGTGCATTGTGCTCACAGTATCTGAGTTCTTGCCTGTGCCTCAGCTCCCCTAGCTACAAGACAGCAGCTTTTGAAAAATAAGGTTAAGTGTCTAGGAAGACACTACTCTTTTCAGCAGAGTTATCATACACATGCTACCATTTCTGAGAGTTTAAAGGGGGATCAGAAAAAAATTCAGACAAAAGTCTGAGCATGGCCTGTGAGCAGTCTTCTTTTGCAGCAAGCATATGAGAGATATGTGGAGGGTTATGCACTGTCAAGGGAAAGGGAATATCAGCATTGATCGGTCATGCCAGTGCTCCATCAAGGAGGTGGCAGAGGGCTTGATTTTGATGATCTGGAACAGATAAAGAGTTTCTTAATTTTTGAGCTTAATTTCTGTGAGAGGTGGCTTTGTCTCAATGACTGTCCCTTCAGATGGGATTTTGTTCATTTTTCTGATGGATATTGCTACTGAATGTGAAAAAGAAAATCATCCTGAAAGCTTCTAACTCGGTGTCTCCCCAATGGTAGTGCTTGCTGCATTAGGAGTGATTTCTCCATGATTGCCAGTGGCACCTACATACATCATTGCTATGTTACAGTAAGATGTTTGAAGATATGACCACCCCTATATCACCTATGAATGGTCTTATCAGTGAGAAATCTCATCACACTTATATTGACTACTCATTTCCAGTCTCCTACCTAATGCTTCTTTCACGACTGGAGTAGCAAAGTCCTGTTGACCTAACTGTAGGTATTGTCTTAAGCATTATTTTAATGATCATTTGGATTGACATTGCTAAATGGTCCTTGGTTTCTAACTGTAAAGTCAAATGGAGATACTGGCCTAAGAGATGGGAGTTGATGAGGTTGTCTCTGGCTACATTGAGAGAGAGATGCTGGGTAGTACCACAAAAAATTAAGAGCTCCTGGAAGAAAATGTGTGAGTGGAGATCCCTGCTGGCACTTTTAGACAGGAAGCATCCTGGTACCACAGAAGCACTCTAGTGCCTGTTGAATTGTACACCCATTCAGAGCAGGTGTGCAGAGCTAGTGCTGGGACAGTGGCAAGAAGTAATAGTATAGGAAAGAGAATAGCAATTCCTTACTGGCTGTCAGACCAAGAGGAACAGATTGGGAGGAGACTGCTGAACATGATGCTGCCTCTGCACAATTAAAAGGGGTGAAGCCATCCTCCAGAGTAAAAGATCAGCATGTAATTCAGCTTAATGTTTAGGGAGTGACTGTGGTGGCCTAAGCACTGTATGAAAACCAGCCAATCAAATTGGTTTTACCTTTCCATCATTATTTGTATTTAATATAATAAGCTGATTTTCCCCCTCATCTACCTTTCTATGGCAGCTTTGTGCAAGTGAAGAGGGGATTGCAGGCTGACCTTCCTAGGAACGCTGATGTAGAAGTGTGGGTTTAAGAATGAGTCACCTTTGCTTCACTCAAATGTCTATCCCTTCTCTTTCATGGTTCAGTGGGTATGTACACACCATCAGTCATAGCTTGGAAACTCTTGTTCAGCTAAGATGACACCTTTGTCAACTGACATTTTGAAAATCCCTGCTGTATTTTTGACTGTATTAATACTATTACCTCATCCTTTCTCATCAGCAGATTTCAAAGCCCTCTCTCAAATGAGGAGTGGCTTGGTGCTTGGGGGAGGAGGGTTTGTTCCAGGTGACAGAGGAAGAAGCCAATCAGGTTTGATGAGCAGTGATGTGAAGCACATTTGAGTTTTGTGTGGAAAAGAAGCTTTATGCCATTTGTTCATGGCAATGCTGCATGGCAAGTGGATTTAGCCCATTAATTCCACATGTGAGCAGATTTGGCATCATCCCTCACCATAGGGTGTGTTCCTAGGTCTGGATCAACCTGCAGCTGAACCTCTCATATCACAGTTGTCAAGAGCCTACAGCTTGCCTTGTTGTCCTTGTTGAACATTATTTTTTGCCAGGCCAGCACAGGCAGCCCTTCCCCTGGTTTGGAAAGCAAGGCTTCTCCAAAGGACCCATTTATTCTTACTGACTAGAGGGATCACAGAGTAGGACCAAGAAAAAAGTAACTGCAGTGTGCTGTCTGGCTCCCAGGTTAGTCTGTGCACTAGACTGATGAACAGCTCAGCAGTTCACAGTGTCTGTGCTATCAGCATCACCATCTGTGAAGAAAACATGCCATGCTGACCTGGGATATGTTGGGTTCAGTGACATCTGTGAGAATTTGAAGCTCCTGACACTTGAAATTTGTCTTCCTTTTTGAAATTTCCTTCCTATTTTGAAATAGGTAATGGATGGGTTAACCCACCCTATGCTGCGCTTTTTCCTGACTGATTTACTCAGTGGATTCCAAGGTTTTGAGAAGTAAGAATTTATAGCCTTTTTCTTGGAAATAAAGACACTTTCTTACTGCAACCAATGTGTTCCACAGCTATTCCCATCACCTGCATTAATGCAGATTCTTGCTTGTCACCCTCAGCGAAAAGCTAATGGTAATGCATTCCTAAAATGATGATGGATATATGAGCATGAGTATTTAAGTGTACTGCTTTTTATTTTCACTCTTGTATCATGAGAGAGGTCACATGGAGATGAGCTTCCACATATGTTTCTTATTTAGGCTGATGAGTACAATGGCACTGCAGTACTTCTACATTTCTTCTCTAGCCCTTTCCTGATGCTTTTAATGCCTTGTTTTCTCTTTGCAGCCTTGGCTCAATGCTGAGAAGGGACTTTGTTATTGTCAGTCTAAGAAAATAAAGGTCTTCCTGCTGTGAATGGTTGTTGTCCAGCAAAAAGACACACAAGAAATATCTTCTAATACATATTTTTCAACTTTTACTTTGTCTGTCACAACATTACTGATTTTTGCCTCTTTTAAAATTATTTTTGTGCCCAAATCTAAACACTGCTGTGTGAGTTCCTTCCTGTTGCAGATCTCTGATTAATATCCTGTAAATCTGTGAGCATCACACTGGGGCACCACACTCTCTGCATTTTGCTGTTATCAAGTGTAAGGATGCTTTGTGTGGTTTCTGAGTTATGACAGACCATTTCTATACAATCTCTGTTTTATACATTCTTTTGTTTTGCCAGATACATCTCCAATGAATGCAAATCAAGTTTTGGGTTTAAGTATTTTTGTAACAAAGAATATTCACTTTAAAATACATACTTTTAACCAAGATGCTTCAAATTTATTCACACTTGCTGGAAAATTAGTTTTTTAAAACACTTTTATTAAAAAATATTTAAAACATTTTCTATGTCAATTAAAATACAGAACTGTTATCCTGAAGTACAGCGATAAAGTAAATCAAAATATCTATATATATACCTACATATAGGCACATATGTCAACCTAAGAGAAAATGCGTTTACAACCCAGTGTAATGGCTTTGCTTTGCATCTTTGTGCACATAAAGAATATACCTGGAGTCCTTTTCCTTAATGACAAAGGGTGTATCCTCCCCCTGAGATGAAGCATTTAACAGTAGTAGATACTGTTAATAGCTTGCTAAAAGTCAGAAGTGAACAAGTCTTACCAAATCAACTGTAGACTAAAACAATGTGGTAGTAACCATCCTTCTTGAATAAGAGACTATGATTTCCAAGTGCATGTGCTGGTGACAGGCTGCTGTCCTGCCTCTCCCCCTCCAAGGCCAATGTCTTGATGCTGATGAAAAAGAAGCCACACGGTGCAGTGTTTTGCAGAGAGCTGAGGTTGCTTTTACAGCTGAGCAGTGATTTGTAGTCACAGCAAGGAAACCTTGAGCATCTGTCTCACATGTTTCACGTTTAGCACACCTTCTGTCAAAATACTCAGAAAATCTAGAGGCAGAAATCAAAGCTGAAGTAAGTAATTATCCGGCATGAGATTATTGTTAAATGCATCTGCATTTGCTTTAGCTTTTCAAAGTTCCTGCTTTTGTCAGTTTGCTTGCTGGTGAGTTCGCTGGCTGGCCTGAAACATATTACAGAGCATCTTGATCCCCTGTAGACTGTGTGTGGAATGAACTGGTAGATTCAGTGTGGTAAGTGATGTGAACTCCACACCACTTGCAGATATACCCAGGTATCTGCCAGTTCTTAAAGAGCATCTTCAGGTACTTCTTAAACTTTTCCCCCATGAAGAAGTAGATGACTGGATTGAGGCCACAGTGAAAAAGGCCAAGGATTTCCGTTACCTGGAAAGCGTAGTCCAGACTTTTGCTCACTTGACAGTCTCTAATGACTCCCATAATTTCCAGCAGTTGTAAGAAAATAATGATGTTGTAAGGGGTCCAGAAAAAGAAAAACACGATCATGACAGCAAAAATCATCTTCACAGCCTTATTCTTTTTGTCATTTCTACAGTGAACTAACGTTTTAATGATCATGGAGTAGCAAAATGTCATAACTATCAACGGGATTAGGAGCCCTAAAATGTTGATTTCCAAAGTGGTAAAAACTTTCCATGTTGTGAAATTGCCTGGATATCTTGGCTTGCAGGTAGTATAATTATGTTCATTAAAAGACTCTCTAAACACAAGCTCAGGAACTGAGGCTGAAAGAGCTACCAGCCATACGACAAGGCTAGTAATCAAGCCATGGAAGGCAGTTCTTGCTTTCAAGGAAAACACTGCACGAACAATTGCCAGGTATCTGTCTATGCTCATAAGCATAATAAAAAATATCCCACTGTAAAACCCAACCAGGTAGATCCATGAAATGACTTTACACCAGGGAGTTCCAAAAACCCATTGGTCTATTGTGAAATAAGACCAGAATGGCAAGGAAAAAACAAAGAGCAAATCTGAGATGGCAAGGTTTAGCAGGTACACATCAGTCATGCTCTTCAGCCTTTTGTATTTGAAGAGGACCACAATGACCAGAATGTTTCCCACGAGCCCGACCAGGAATACTAGGCTATACAGAACAGGGAGGAAGGAGGCTGCAAACCTCCTGACGCTTTCCTTATTGCATGGTTTTGGAGCATCGTTGTAATTATCATAATAGTCATAAAAGGTTGAGAGTTCAACTTCAAGGGGCTCTGTACTTGAAGAACTCATGTTTTTTCCCCAAGTTCCTGAGAAAGAAAGAATATAAAAATGTCAGTGACTTTCAGTGTGTCAAGACTGTGTGGTTACTCTGTAAGCCTGAATCACCAGCAAGAAGTGACTGGCAGTTCCAGCACATGTCTGATTACAGGTTCTCAAGAATTATGTAAGCATTATGGGATGAATGTGCACACTTGCAAAATGTACAGTCCTTAACATGCACGTGCTTGCTCCTGGCAGCACTGTGCAACTTGGATGTAACCACACAGAGTACTGTTCAAATGTATGAGAGGAAAGCAAAAGGGAATGAAAGACATGGGCCACAGATACCAAATCAGGGATGGACAAGGCCTGTGTAGAGTAAAGTAAAAGCAAAGCCACTGTTCGTAACAGTTCAGGATTTCACCCACCTTCCCCACCAGGCAAATGCTACCATAAGAAGACAGTAATAAAAGTACATCAGACTTTTCCAATGAAGTTGCGCTTACTGAAAGCTGACATGAGTTTTCAGTAAGTAGTTAAATGAATAACAGGAATTTATAATTTTCATATGAATGGTCTTTTCTAATAGGTGAATACAGTTTTAAGTGATATTCCTTTGCACAGTGTAACTATGTTGCTGATTTATTACTGTTATTCACATCACAGCAAATGTCATTCTTTTAGCCTAACATACCAGAACTTTAAGTCTGAGTTTTGTTCTTACTGTGTGTGTTATTCGCATCACAAGTGTCATTTTTTAACCTAACATACCAAAACTCTAAGCCCTTCTTCCCCTTTGTCTTTATTCTTATGAATGGAAAGCAGAAGCAATGTGAGCTTCACTGCTTTACTTGTCTTTGCCCCGTATGTTGCTGCTCCATGGCAGCAAACACTGACTATTGTTAACCTGACCCTTACTGTGTGTAGTGTGAGGCATCACACCTTTCCAGCTTACTGTTCTATTTCATTATACACAGAGAGGAATTTAATCTGATTTACAAGTCGCAAGGACAAAACTGTTTTACACCAGTGACAGCTTTGCAACAACTGCACCCAGATACGCTTGAATCTAACCTAAGTTCAGCATAATATACTTAAATATTTAAAACTGAGAAACATATGCTCACAGAATGCACACACATCCATTTCTGATGAAGCAAGAATTCTTAAAACTTCTTTCAAAATCACCTGAGCAGCCACAAAAGGTAAATGAACAAGCATTACATTCACACACATCATGAGTGTAAAAATGATACACGACTGTTTCAGCAATAGAATTTTGTGAATTTTACCTTTTCTCCTTTCTTCTCAGATGATACAAAGGAGCTTCTTCAGTCTAAGAGTGCAGAATCACTTGCTTCTCACCAGGTAGCTCTGCCAGGGAGGTGCTACCCACACAGCAATATCCAGCAGCTGCAAAAAGCAGATGTCACTGGGTAGCTGTGTCTCTTAACGGAAGCTTCCGACTTCCTTACAGATTGTATCACAAGTGCTTCTCTCCTCAGTGCTCATCAGAGATAGTCCCTTTAAGTCAGAAATAGAATTAAACACATCTTGTTTAAGAAAATGCAGTTTCCACTAGGGCCTGATTACTGAGTTAAAGCAGCTTCATCTTATCCAACAATTATTAAAATAGATGTCACTAAGCAGCTTTCATTCAACATAAACCATGCTCTTTCTTATGGGTTGTAAAATGCATCTTAATCTCAGAAAAAAATAATCAAAGGATCATCTGTAGTGAGCAGGGAGGAGGCAGGCACTTGGTGGGTGTGTGGGAGGTGTGTTTCTAGTCCTTCTCTTTCAGACAGCGCAACCTGCAAAATAAGTTATGTAGAAGAAAAAGGCTGTATAGATTCAGTGTAGGGAAAAAATCATTGCTATCTTCCTAACTCCTGCTTTTCTTGCTAAAAAAAGAAGTGAAAGCATGTTAATTCATGCTACCTTTTTGATTGACGTTTCCTGCAGTGGGTTTTGTATACAGCAAATCTGCCTCTTACCACTGACCAGCACAAACTGTAAAAGTGGTCAAAATATCAAATAAGAAGTAGGATGTGCACACGTATGTGTGTGGTGTAAGGGATCTTCCTAACTCCTGCTTTTCTTGCTAAAAAAAGAAGTGAAAGCATGTTAATTCATGCTACCTTTTTGATTGACGTTTCCTGCAGTGGGTTTTGTATACAGCAAATCTGCCTCTTACCACTGACCAGCACAAACTGTAAAAGTGGTCAAAATATCAAATAAGAAGTAGGATGTGCACACGTATGTGTGTGGTGTAAGGGCAAAGGATGCTGAGGTTTACCGTGGTTCATGTCACAGCAGAAAGCTCAGCAGCTTCTACGAATTTCTCCGGAGAGTGTGGTGGGCCTTATTTCTCTTTTGGGGGATCATAGGAAGGAGAATAGAGAATAGAGGACGTGCTAGTCACATGGAATGGTTTTGAGTCCTGCCAGCAGAACAGCTGTGCTAGCTGCTGGCAGGTGCTGCTCTCCTCTCTTTCCCAAAAAAGGCCAGGCAAGCAGAAATACAAGCCATTTCTCAATAGGGGAGCACACTTGCATGTTAGCAGGAGAAACTGAAGAGAAACAATGAGAAGTAGAAACAAGAAAGTTACAGGAGGTGGTTGGGAGGGTAGGAAGAATCAGAGATCTCAGTCCACAAGGGTTTATAAATTTTCTAGTTCACTCTCTGGTGTTATTCCAGACATAGGTATGGCATTTGTTCAGTTATGATATTTGATGCTATCTCATATGCCTCTGACACTGGTGCTCTGCCCAATAACATTTGGCTGAAGTGTTTCTTCCAGTGGAATCTGCTGGTTTCATGTTTCACCAGAATAAAACAATTGTATGGGAAGGAGCTTCTCAGTCATCTTTCACAAGCTGCATCTGTGGAGACTTTTAAATCTGTCTCTGTGAGATGTTTCTCCAGTGCAGGTTATTGCTCTACAGATTATGTACATTTTCTCTTCAGTTTCCTAGCAGTCCTTTAAAGCTGTTACCCGTTTAATCAGCTCTGCTCACAGAAACTAGCAGCTCTTCCTCTTGCTGCTCTTTTGCCTGTGTAAGGGCCTCATTAATCTCTTCTTTGACGTGTTGTTGCACTAGAGCCACAGCTCTTCACCGGCAATAACAAGGACATAAAATCTTGCTTTTTAAGCACCTGCTTTTCAGGAAAAAAACACCTCTTGCTCTGTAGGCATTGTTCTTTCTGAGTTGAGGCCGTAATGTTTTTTCCTCAATAAACCACTATGCATTTACATCTTGTCTTGACCCACTCATTATTTTTTTGACTCTGTCAAACTAGGTCTCTTTTTTAAATTTCATCAGTGGTGATTTTTTCTTGATTTCCACATCTAGTGAATAGAACTGAATGCAGATACCATCTCTCTTCAACCCTGTAAGAACCCTGCTTGTTTAAAGGATAATTCTCCATCATCAGCAACCTTTTGAGATCTGTCAACTTCTTAGCACACAGTCCACATTTCTGATATGCTTCTGATATGCTTTCAATCATACTGTTAGCAGGGAACAAGCCTTTAGAAATTTTGAATTCCAGTTTAGTATGATCCATATGGCACTAGCCTGAAGAAAGCACTTACATGACATATTGCCTTTTCCCCAGTCCTTCCTTGGAAGACTTTCAAGTAGAAAATGCTTCCTAAGCAGCTTTTTTGTATCTGCTCACTGCCTGGGATGGAAGGCTGGGCTGATACCACCAGAGGAGTAGGGCAGCAAAGTCTCTTTGTCAGTGCATGTTTGTGTGCCTGTGTGGGGGTGGAGGGGGATGACTGGACCACAGTGTCATGCAAAGCAGCAGTTGTGTTGCAGCACCTGCCATAATACCAATGCATTTCATGCTGCATCAGCAAATGGGAAGGTCTGTCCCTGTAATGAAACTGAGCAAGAGCATTTCTGCATAAAGAAGAATGCTCAGCCACAAAAGAGAGTGATTGTAGCTATAGATGACAAAAACTTGTGATGTGTGAATTCCAGAAAATGAGGATAAAAAAACATCTGCCAGTTTATGAAATTCAAGTGGATAAGAATGAACCTGGACACACCTTCTGATGGCCTGCCAATGAAGAGTCCCTGGGAAAACCTCCAAGGAAAACTGCAAAGAAGACAGAAAAAAAAAGAAATCTCTGAGCCAATGAGCCAATGCAGACAACAGGAGAAAGGTGCTGTGAGTGTATGTCCTGCAATGGCTTGGAGAGGAAGAAGAGTGAAAGGAACTGAGCGTAACTATAGTCTCCAGTAAGGGACAGCCAAGGTACCTTCTAACATGGCAGCCTATCTTTTTCAGCTCCTTCTTGGAGACCCTGGCAGAGACTCACAAAAGGAGAATGGCAAGAGATGGCAAGGTTGAGAGGAAAGGGGGAAGGGTTCTCAGCGATGTTGCTGTAAATCCAACAGATTTGCAGGGGAAGGGGAGAAGAAAGAAGTTATCTTACCTCTTTACTACACATGATGTCAGTTATGTGGCACTGACCAAATAAATCAGGAGAGTGCAGAGAGGTGGACCAAGCCCAATTAGCCTGACTGGAAGATTACCTTTTATATGGAATGATAAGGTGGGCACATTAAATCCAACAGAAAGGAACTTACTAAAAGCAAAATGAAATACCAACCATGAAAGCCTTGCTTCTCACCAAAAGATTATTTCAACTACTCCCATTCTTTACGGAAGCCTTATCATTAATTTGCCATTTTACAAGATGCATAGGAATCTTGCCCAAGGAAGGATTGGAGATAGACATTTATCTGACCCACTAGCTATGCTGTGAGATACTTACCACTGATACACCAGTGCACCATCCATTCCTTCTGCTCTCAGTGTTGGCCATGGATAGACAATTCAGAAGTGTTTATTAGATAAGTCCTCATTTGGAAGAGGCTGCCCCAGGAGAGAAGCAGATGACAGTAAATAAAAATAGCTGACTATTGCAAGAATCAGAATTTTGCCTGATTGTGTGGATCAGAGCAGGATCCAGGATGACAAAGCCACAGATGGATGAACTATTACCTTTCTCA